CGGAGGTTTCAGGATATCGCATGAGTTGGAAGTTGTTGTTCCATTAGAGAATTTGCATGAACAAACGCTTGACAATATCTCCTGGGTTATGGCCATGGAAAACATAGAGAAATAGGGTGTTTCCAAAATTTCGTGTCCCACTTGATCATTATATTCTCGGGATATCATTATCGGAAAACCGGCATTATCGACATTTTGAAATATCGGCGATTTCGATCGACACCGGTATCGGCGATAAAAGCGATATAATAATGCATGTATCGCCTTTCAAATTTTTGCATTAAGAAATATTTTTTATAAATTGTAATTACAATACGTTAATTTAATCAGATGTAGTCCACCTATACACCATTTTTAACAACCTTTAAACTAGAATTAAAGACTTATCGATTGGGGGTTAGGGGATCCCCCAAAACAGTGGTCTTACTCCATAGTGACACCGTGTGTCCCATCACTAATTAATTAACAACTCGCTAATTATACGACATAATCCATCCAAAATAAATAGGCTTCTGATCTGAGGTAAGATGAATGCACATGCAAAATTTGGAGCAGATTGAACCTCGCTTTCGTGAGATGTCGCGTGCATCTAACACACAGACAAACAAATACCTATCAACGGTTCCATTACATTTGAACCCACGTACATTTGAACCCATGACAATTGCACCTGTATGCTATTGCACCTATGGAATTTTTTTTGTTTCACGGATAGTTAAACCCATACTAACCCTAACCCATGGGTTTTAGCACCCGCATAAGTAGGACACGTGCAGCAAGTGCGGCACGAAGCGGAAGTGAGACGAGTAGTACACGCGGGACAATTGAGCCACGACATTTTCGAGGCACCGAATAATTATACACAGGAATACATCTTGGCTGATGTCTATTGAGTCAATTTACATAAGCAGGATCACTTAGCACAGGGTCGTCCAACCTGTGGCCCGCGGGTCACATGTGGAAGGTTTGCCGAGTGGCCCGCGCGGTATTAATCGAAATTTCACAATCTGAGCCACTATTGAAACCTCTAATAAAAAATTATTCCTTGCCGTTCAAACGTGCGAGAAGCACCACCCAGCTAGACTAGAAAGCTTTTTTAAGTCTCTTTGCGGGCATTATTGCGGGAGAGAGATATTTGAATTTATTTTTATCGTCTACCAAGTATTTCAATCTGCTTTTTTGTGAAGCTAGAAGAGACAGTTTTCACGACCTCAATATTTGATAGTACTTACTTGTACGAGCAAGTTTTTTCACTGATGAATCATGTCAGAGCCCCCATGAGATCACTCATTTTTGACCATCATAGGGGAAAATTCGCTTGGCATTGCTACATCGTCCATCGCACCGAATATTGAAAAACTTGTATAAAAAGTATAAAAGCAGTGCCGTACTTCACATTGAAATATCTATGTGTGAGAAAAACTTTTTGACTTCACTGTATCTTTGTATTCTCATTGTTTTTATAATTTAGGTGTGAGGGTTCCGTTTATTTTTTCATTAACCTGTAGTCGGTGTAGTGAAAACTAGAACATAACTACCACGTCGAGTGGCCCGCGCAATCATTCGTAAACTACATGTGATCCTTCGATCCTAAGACATCCCTGACTTAGCACTTTGTCGTTAGTAATTTTATGCACGTATGTGGGAAAACCTGATTAACTTCAATTTAATGAAATTCAGTCACTGAATGCAATCTGAGAGTGGACGGTATACAAAATAAAGGGCGCTCCATAAATGTGTGAAGCAATATGGAGGTAACTAGTTTTGTTTGCCTAATTCACATCAAGTTGTGTAAAGGGACTGAAACCTATATAGGCAGGTATATTCAATTGCCTAACAGAGACAGTCGCCGAACTCGTGATAGACCTAAAATAAGGAAACACGGAATAAAATTATGGCCCAACTCTAACCTAGTACACATACCACGGAAGAACAAAATAAAGAAGGTATTTCTGTACAGTGTTATCGTGTTAAATCTACGACTATTTTTAACCCTCGAGCGCCATCCAATGACTGATTGGGAAAAAAATTCTAGTGCTTTCACATATAAACCGATTTTTACACCACATCGTCGTCGTCCTAATCGATAGCGTATGCTGGATCCACTAATTCCCAACTTCAGACATCTGCTTTGACGATTGCACACAGTGTACTATGATTGACGGTTTTGCACTACGATACACCTTCGGTCCAATGTTGTTGGTAGTTGTTGCAGTTCTCTACATAGCTCCCAGTTGTACCCGACTCTTGCATTTTTCTGGTAGTTACAGAGAACTCAGTTTGCAGGTTGTGGAGTTTTGTCCCTGTCGGCTCGCATTTGCACATTGCCGGCTATAGCAAAGAAAGTCGAATATTTTTAGTGACACGAAGATAAGACATTAGTACTCTTTCTCACAGTGCACCGCTATTCCTGTTATTCCAATAAATGCAGTTTTCTACTACTACTTTTGTCTGCTTAAAAAGTTTGTTTTTGTGTATTACGTGCTTCAGAACTGACAGTCGCCAAACTATAACTGGTATGGACTTTCTGTAATTTCAAAATATTGAATGAAATATCATAATCGTATGTTACATCACTTAAAATCACGCGAAGCAAGAACCAAATTATCTTCAAACCTGGGTGCAATTATGCATGAACGCGTCTATACATGAACGTCTTTATTGAACTGGTGAAACCTTATGCGTACTTAAACGATGTTTGCTCAGTGACGTAATTTGAGTCCCAAGACAATATAAACGAACCGTAAGTTTTGTCTCTACCGCGATAACGCTGGAAATTCCCTTATATTTCAACCAGTGACGAGCATTCTGTGTAAACATCACGGCACGCTGACTTGCCCATCCCCGCCACGTTGTTAAATGACGACAATGAGCTGCGCAAGCTCACAGTCGATCGTATTGAAAATCAGCGGGGCGTTACGCCGATATATACATGTCAGTAATAGCGTTTCCATTGATAAAAAATTAGCGGCAAATAAGATCAGTTAGCAGAAGATTAGACCAGTATAAAATCGTTTTACATGCAATTATGTGACTATTACTTTGAAGGAATAATCAACAGGAGGAGAATATATATCAAGTCGTGAAAATGTCGGTGTTATGATTTATTCATCATATCAGAAAAGTGCGTAGCTCCTGTAGCGTCAAGTGGCTCATAAAGAACTTGTGTCACATGGGTTTCGGCTTTAGCGTAAGGATTGTTTCTCATTTCAATGTCGCAGGGTTACCATATTTTTGTGACTTCAAATCGGGACGCCTCAAAAGACAACGACCCCTTAGCTGTGATTTTGTAACTTCACATTTTCCGATTTTACTACATAGGTCTACATTTAAAGCTGTCTCGGCTGTCTTTATTTATTGTCTTGCCTAAAGCGGGACGTATGGTAAGCCTATCAATGTATAAAAGACATCACTTGTCCCCCTGAAGCTGAAAAACAACTCATTCGCAATATTTGTGGAATTTGAGACGACATCGTTTTTTCAAACGTGTAACCTAGAACTGGGTTACATCGGAATATGCATAATGTTAAACATATGCCAACATTATATACCCACTACAAATGGCGTTATTATAAAGACTTATTCCAAATAGAATTAACTACAATTGAAATCCTCAAATCAATTGTTTAAATACGTCGTAATTTCGCTGATATTTGCTAATTTCCAAATAAAGGATATCGCCATTATCTCATTTCAACGGTTTCATTTTAGCACGAGAACGTCAATATTGTACTAGGCTACAACACTTGACAAATCAGAATGACATATATATAGAAGAATCAGTAAGTTCAGTAAAGAATGTGTATTGAAATGTTAACGGAAAGTTGCTCAACTTATTATAAAAGATGCATTTATCGCACTATAGAAAAATAATAAAAACATGGCATTTTGCTCAAAAATATGGAGCACTTTGATCGTCATTCCGATGTAATTAATACTCACTTCGCGGCGTTGTCAGTGAGCTTCGATGCAATACATTGGGGTTAGCTTTAGACCAGTGGTTCTCAAACTTTTCAGGTCGTAACCCCTTTTTCGATTTTGTCAAGTCTCGCGCCCCACCTCAAAAAAACTAGCTAACAACAAGCTACATAATAGATAGTAGGGGGGAAATATGTTTTATTCATAAAACACGATGAAAATACGTTGATGGAACGTAAATAATGAAATAAATCAAAAGTTTTGAAATATATATCTAAAATAAAGGGCACAAGATCAAATCTAACAAATATTTATATTTTTAAATAGCTTCACGTCTCTCAAAAATTGTTTACGACCTCCTTGTGGGGCGCGTCCCATCGTTTAAGAACCACTGATTTTAGATGATCCCTTTCAATTTGAGTATGCTTACAAAAAAGGTTCAGAATGCGAAAGAGTCCGAGCGCGCCCAATTCTATTCAACGATACACCCTTTACATTCACTTACCGTGGCGATATCAGAATTATATAGTTTTCAATCCTTTAGTAGCGAATCACAAAACTTATCAAATGGCAAAATTATGGGCCAAGGAATGTTGCTTCAAACATCCAAAAAAATTCGTACGTGATCTCGTGAAATGTAGACTCTCCATTATTTAGGCAAATAATGACGCTTGGTATGCATGATATACCACGAGATTCGTTGTTGCCTAGTAATGGTACAAACCAGTAATTGTAGCGTGCATCCTTCGTTCTAAACAAAGCATTATCTGATAAAAAGTACTACTGTGCTAGCAACGACTTACAGGCCCCTGCCAATACACATATTTCTATATCCGAACATGACCTATAAGGGTATTTTTGCAGAGATATAGTTTTTTTATATTGATGGCCGTTATATGGAGTTAGTTGCCTATTTCAAATTAAAATAGTTTTCCATTTATATTAATTTGTTGTGTCGATATTAAATATTTAATCAACAATATTGGCGTTTGAAATTCCTGTTTACCCGATGCCACAAGAGTAATAAATTTTATTGCAAAGTTTCTATGGTTTATCAAGGGTCCGAAACATATTAAAAGCTTTATTCGGTTTATATTCAGAAAATAAAATCAACAAAATTAATATTAGTATATTTAAAGCAGTATGGAGAAATGTATGATTCTTCTTTTGTTTCTGTACGGATGTGTTACAGGTAATTTTTGTTACTTTAGATGGAGCTAGAGTGTAAATAAATGGTGCCGGATGAGTAAGATTAACGTAATATAAGAATTTATCTAAATCGCGTTATTTATATTTTTTTCTTTTTAGGTATAAATGCGTCATGCGATTGCGAAGATGGTGGTTTTAGTTGCATAGATGAAAGCGGTAGTGTTTCCTGTTCTACGAATAGTAATTGTTCATCTGAGAAAGACACAGGTCTCATTTTATTGAATTTAATATTTACAGCTCTTCGCCCCACTAAAGCGTTCTGAATATATTTACTGATATAATTGTGAGCAGAGGACAACGCAAAAAATGGGTATTTAGGCATTACGGTTTTGTCTATATGTTCACAATTTTGAATAACACATTACTGCATTATGTTACGGGTACTCTCAACTTCGATGTTTTCACCCATGAACTCTACTTTCTAAAAATAGTAAAAATGATAGAATTATAAAAAACGTTTGTCATGCCAATATTTTATAAATACGCATTCTGATATTTATTGACAAAGGTTGTTATAAACTGCTTGTCTGAGGAAGTCTGACTGTGGTCGAATGTAACGTTATATAGATACATTTGTGTTAGTATGCACTATGCAGTATGACTGTTTAATTGGATCGGAAGGTCATTTAGCTGTAAAGTACAGAAAGAAGAATTTCGATATTTCGTGTGACCTCAAATTCATTTCATTGAAAAGATATTGGTAATGGTAAATCCATTCATAGAAGTAAATTAATAGTGAACTACCAATGATTGAATGTTTAAAGGACTGTCAAGCTCGCATGAATAAACTACAGTACAGGCTAATCTTCCTATCCTCTTCTTTCAGAGTTTCGTCTATCTAATCTTCTCAGTCAAGAATACCCATATGTCGGAACAAATGTCACTTTAAAAGTTACATTGACTGTGACAAGTATTACTGACATTGTTGTGAGCGTCACGAACGAAGGAATCATCAAGAATATCACTGGCGACCTTGACAATGTTTATCCATATGCTATCAACAGTGTGTCGAAAAGCGACGAAGGCGGCTACTTATTTTCCGCAACAGGAAAATCTGAAAATGAGTCTGCGTGCAGTGCAATAACGTCAAATATAAAATACGGTAACTGTTTTATGAATGAAAATAGGAGTGATGATAATTGGGTTTTAATAGCGTGCTGCGAGGTTCATCGTGAAACAGGCTTAACTTGCATTAGTTGACATGTAATACACGTAGTAAATATTTTTAAGTGAATCGAGGTAAATGGGATGCATTATAATACGCGGAGCAAGTGAATCAAACAAGTGGTCCAGTTACCTGATGCAATGTCTCTTACTTTTTAGTCTTTACTGTGAAGATCTTCCCGATTGATGCAAAGATTGTTTTTACGAAGGGTATAAACAAAATAATGGACATATCAGTTTATGCTGAATTACCCGGCAATCTGTGGAAAACTAGGATTCAATTACTCGAGGATTCTCCACACACATCAAATGAAGTCATATTGGAAGTCACTCCCACCGTGGACGAAACGACTCAAATAGGCATTTATAAATACCAAGTCGCTACTCCGCAAAAAGCCGTTGATGAAGGAACATACAAGTTTAAAGCTATCGAATTCAGCACTACTGGCGTGCAAAACAATTATTCCGTAGATACGTCATTCGACGCTTACGGTGATTATTCTCTTTGTTTTTGCAGTGCGAGAATTCCAGAACTGAACACATTCCTGCTTTGGCACTAATGTTGTTTTACAGGGTGATAAATGAATAAAAAACTCAATTGTCCAGTTCCCTAATAACGCCGTCGTTACAGGTGTTTTCTTGGCTTTATTTTCTTTCGAAAGCTCATATAAAATCGATAATAGTTCTATCATTACAGCATAGAAGCAACGCTCAGGATGAATAAATTCATAATCTTTCAACAAAACTGAAATTTATCAATAGTAGTATTGTATTTCGTTGATCGAAAATTTACTGCTTGTTTTTGTTCAAAACACAATCATAATCAATACCCTTCGATCATAGCCCGCGCACCCCTATACGAAGTTATAAACTCAGTAACGTTGGCAGCTCAAGTAGTAGGCCTGCCCTTTACAGTACCGCAGGTGTCGGCAACCTACGGCCCGCAGAGCAATATAATCCGGCCCGCGAATTACTGAACTATAGTAACAAAACAGCTGTTTTGACGATTATATTCTTTACGTAACAAAATTTATTTTGAGACTAAATTATATTATAATCTAACAACTACGTAATTCACAATTACTCGTTTAATGAGCCTATAGTTTAATTATAATTGGACAAATGGGAACGAAACGCAGAAAAGTTGATGCTAAGTGCAAATGGTTTAATGGCGCAGAAAATATTCAAATGGTCAGTCTTCGCGCGCTGCTTGAAATTTAATTTCTGATCTGTGTGAAAAAATGTGATTCATCGGCCATCCGTTTGGTTTTCGATTTTCTAAAAATAGGTGCGGCTCGCCAATGACTTGCAATCTTTAATTTTGGCCCGCAAGCGACAAAAAGTTACCGATACCTGCAGTATACCGGTATAGCCGTAATTTAACTCGCACCACAAATACCATTAATTAAGGGAATAGGACTGTAGCCAAAATAACGAGCTTAAATTTATGGTACGAATGACATCTTTCACTTCTGTTTAGTACATTCAACACTGATACAGCCAGACGAAGATAAATACTTTACCCATCCCGGCGATAACGTCACTGTGCAACTCAGCATCACTACGGACCTCAATTCGTATGATAACGTGACTGTTGTCGTCATTAAACCAAGCGGAGAGAAGGAAGATATTGCTTTAAACCAGGAAGGTGACGACACGCAAGTCGACTATACTTTATTGGGAGTTGACGATGGTGATGCCGGTAATTATACGTTTGTGGCCACTGAATATACCGGGGAGTTTGGCAATACGACTTATGCGGCAACAATCGAATTATACGGTGAGTAGATAAACGTAACTATAGTCCGACTAAGCGTAGGATGAGGCCACAAGAGAACCTCGATTTTGTGAACTTCAACGTTAAAGCGAACAGTTTAAAGGAGTCTTTGTGCAAGAGTGCACACTCCAATCAATCAATTCTATTTTAGCCGGCATAAAGCAAAACAACAAAAGAGGAGAAACAAAAAGGGGCGATTATAGCCTAACACAAAGGTAAAAACGTACAAGTACGTACAAGTACGCTATGCGCACATCCACCAAATATGGCTAAAGCACGCAATAAAATAACACACACCATTCAAAATACGAAAACACTGATTGCCTGTCTGTTGTTTCAGTTGTATATATTTTTATATTTGTTATATCATGTCCTATTCTTTGAATATTCACAGTTTTCTTCTTTCTTTTATAGTGTGGAAAATTTCGACTACTCTAAAACCTAAAGCCGACGGTAATTACGTAGCCCTCAGGAACGAAAAAAATTCTGTATCATGCTCGTTAATCGGACCTCAAGACATGATTATATCTTGGTGGCAAAATGAAACAGAAGTATCAACAGACGATAACCAAATTGTTTATCAAAATGATTCGAAAACGGTTTTATATATTACTGAAAATGCAAAGTATGGTGATGTAGTGGAGTATACTTGTAGAACTGATGAAGCAGAAACCACCGTTGGAATTGTAATTGAAGGTGATTTTTTTTATTTACAAAATCTGTTAACGGGCACGAATATAACCTGTGGATCTACATTCTACTAACTTGCTATTGTTTATTTGGTTGTTCTTGATACAGAATTGTCGCTAGAGTGGTATATTTGAAATTGTTTTCACTTGAAGATAGATTTGTCTTCTTATAGGCTTTTTTTTATACATTTTTCTTGCTTTCTGGAGGCGTCCATATGACATGGTTTTTAAAACAACGTATATTTCAACTTGCAAATATTTTTCGCGGTTTTGCACCCTAGTAAGTACGTAGGATAATAATTCCTGTGATTTGTATTTTTAGGTCTTCCGGAATCAAATTTGAATCGAATTGACGACAGCTTCATATGCACATCTATGGGAAACCCTCTCCCCGGAATAAAGTGGGAAATCGGAGAAGTTAGTTTGGAAGAAAACTCATTTTTATCAACGCCGGAAATCGAAGAAATTGACCGTTTTAACGTGAAATCTACGATTTCCATAATAAATTCAACTCTATGCTTCGGTGACGAAAAATTAAAATGTTTAACATCGAATAGTAGGGGCACAGATGAAGAGGAAATTACCATTAACTCTGGTGATAATTTTATGCTTTATATTCCAAAATTAAATTCTCGAGTTAAAATCATTTTTCAAGTGAAATAGCTTACAGCGTATGAATTTAAGAATTGGATTCGACACATGGCCACAATCGCTATTTGCATCGTCTTTTTTTTTAGAGGGCTATTGTACTTCCCTGCAGATCCACAATGATGGAAATACGTTTTTCAAATGGCTTCAACTGTGTTATTATATCTAATGAAATTAATAAATATTTATGATTTATACAGAAAACATCGGTATTTATGAAAACAGCTATCTTGCATTTTCGGTGGAAAATCAAACGTTTGAGGAAGCCAAACTGCAATGTAGTGGTTCCCTTGTCACCGTAAAAACACAGGAAAAGCAAAACGCCGTCACAGATTTAGCAGATCTATTTAATGTAAACGGTAAAAAAAATGGATTTTTTGAACTGTGATAAACTTCAATCTTGTTATTGTGTTAACTCCTGCAAACTGGGCCAATCATTGAAAACTTAGAAGCTGTAAAGGTTTTCCTGGCAGTATTTTTGCCAGCCAGGTGTAATGCACCATGTATTATCTGAAGGTCTTCGTTACGAAATGTTTAACCACCATTGAAAAGATTATCCATTGACCATCGCGCTGAAAGTTAAAAGCGAAAAAGAAGTTTTCGATTTTAATAGCGAAATGTGGACTTCTGGCGGCCCTTTTTACCTAAAAATTATTATCAGCTTGGTAAATATATATTTAAGTAAATGTAATACACTAACTTCGATGACTTTCAAGAGCTTTGTATAGATTTTCCAATATTTCTTAGATTTCTATATTGGAGCTCACCTTGAAAACGGTGCGTGGAAATGGATCGATAATTCTAATGTAACCAATGTTCAAATCACATCGGGAGGTGGAGAATGTGCCAAGTACTCATACAAGGATACCCATTGGGTACTCGAATCAGTTGATTGTTCAAGTGAACTCAAATATGTGTGTGAAATTCAAGGTAATTTCGAGTTTATTTTTAACATTTTCAGCGTCATAAATTATCAATAATAAACATTGATTCAATAAATACGAAATGAAACATCTCATAAACATGATCACCGTGGCATAGTGGGTTAGAGAGGCTGACTTATTCAAATCGCACATTAATGAACAGGGTGAAATAATTACCCGACTCCACGTCTCGACATTTAAATGGTTAATTATACCATATCTAACCTGATAACCAGACTTCAGGAAGCAACTTGCCACAAAAAGCCTTATACTCTTCCATTTTCCTTCGCAGTAAAGGTGAAAACACGATTGGGAGCAATGCATATAACGTGACACATAAGATACCCAAATTAGAATGTGATCGGAAATCTAAGATATACCCATTCTTGAGTCATGAAACATCTTTAATTGCAACTTTGTCATTGAGATAGCTGACCAAAGAATGTTATTAACGATACCCATTGATGCAGAAAACTAGTAAATGATGTAATGAACACAGTTAGAAACACTTTATAAGTTTTGTCTGGCGCATATTTATCTTGAATATTTTTCTACATATTTAACAAATGAAATATAGAAAACAACACTCCCCGGGATTTAGAGATGACAGCTTTCGAATGCAACGCCACGAGTTTGAGCGTAACCTGGACAGCTGCTTCGGGAACGACTCAGCAAATTGTACTCAGCCACAACACCTCCATCGTTGAAGAAGAACAGCTTACGTCTGGAGTACACGATAAACAATTCGTTAATTTATCACCCGGTACTGAATACCTTGTAAAGGTAAGTAACCTTCCATTGTGACGCACAACTATAGGTAAAAAAAGGTTTAACAAATCTGAATATCTTGAAGAATATCACAGTCGCCATTGAAACAAATGCTCAAAAAGTAAAGATAATTTCCGAATTAATTTTCTTCTCCTTTTGTCTTGGTAAGTTGGCCATATTTTACCAGTCCAGAAGTATTTCATCTGGTGTAGAATGTAGAAAATGATATCGTCTTGTTATCAAAGCTTTCCTAGATTACTTCTGCCACTTCAGGTATGTGTATTCAACGCGTCAAGAGCCAATGCGATATTTGCTTTCCCTAAAGTAAATATACGATAAGTACATTACGGCTCAAAAGATAAAACGTAATACTTGTAGAATATTAACAATATTTTATGATGGAATTGTTATGTCGAAGCGCCATCAGTTTAAACAAATAGAGCAATGCTGAAATATATGGGCCCGAAAATCGCGTATCGGTCCCGCACAACAGCACCGAATTTGCTGGGAATAATGGCGGCCAAGTCGAGAAGTATGGAAAAATAAAATGTTTCCATTTAATTAAAATAAAATGGTCAAATTTTTAAGGGAGATAACGGGCCCCATCGGACTCTGAAAGAATTCTGAAAATAGCTTTTTTAGTACTAAAAATTTAGAATTGGTTGATCCATAGGTGTGAGACAAAGTGTTTTTCTCAACAAAACAATCACACTAACCGTACCTTGTGTTCAAAAATCCGAACCGGACGAGATTATTAAGAATATGGGCAACCATTTTCAATAAAACAAAAGTGATTGCCAGACTTACGGCACACTTTCAAATCTCGATATCATGGAAATGATGATAGGATAGAATAGGATTTGCATATTTATCCCGGGGAGAGAAAAGCCGATACTTATATGGCGAACCACGGCCTATCGTCCGGTTACCAGTCCATATCGGATAAGGAATTAGTTAGCCTGATATTTGTTTTCGGAAACATGGACCTGCATATGTAAACCCACCAGTAAAATCATCATGAACTTACGAAATTTTACGATTTACTTTTTTTAATATTTACTCGTCGAAAGTGAATTACGGGATACTTTATTGGCTAGAAACTCAGAAATGTGCTTCCTTTAAGGACCTCCGGAGACTCGTTACGGTACCGACTTTCCAATATGATTTCATTGTTTCCTCCAACATCTTCTTGTAGCCTTGTTGAGATCTTTATCATTTACATACACAACTACTGGCATCTACTGGACTTAGAGATGTACCGATGTATCGGTATCGGGTATCGGTATCGGCAATATCGGCCATTTTTTCGGTATCGGCCATGTATCGGTATCGGTAAGATTAAGGCCGATATTTCCGATATATTTACCATTTTGATATGGTCCAGAATGTTTTAAAAGATAAGTTGGAATACTACTTTTTAATTTATTTTTTGTCTGGAGAGATCGTGAGCTATGAGCCATACATGTCCCACCCCTCGCGATAGAATAGGATTCACGTGTTTTTAGCTATTTATCAGCCAAACTAGCTCAACTAATTTGGCTATTTTCGCTGTCAAATATTTATATTGACATTTTTAATATTACATAGTAATTATGAAGAAATATATCAACACATCACATAACAAAAAGCAACTAGGCACCCAGTTTTAAATCATACAGTGGAATTGGGGTCCCTATTAACGGCACATAGACTTTTGGCACGGGTATAAATTTTGACTGTTTGTCGTCAAGTATGAGTGTCATTTAGTCCGTCGACATCGATAAACTAAATTCCGACACAACTATCCCTCTACGCAGGTATTAAATTTAATTTTGTTTAACTACACAATTACTTTATAGATATATTAGCATGGCCGCCTAGCCCTAGACTGTCTCAAAATATATGATAGCAATTGTAAAATATTATAAAATAGTAAAGTAAAAAAACATCCTCGACGGTTATGGGTAATCCTCCTTTTTGTCGGTGCTGATTGATAGTCTTTCATGTTGGCTTTGACTTCTTGCTTTGACGATTACGATTAGCCACGAAATAAAAAACTTGATGAATAAAATGCTTTTAATTTGAACGTAGGACGGCGGCGCTAGAATGTGTGGGCGATATTCGATATTCTTTTAAACACGAATAACGATATTCGAGGATCGCGATATTAACATTAAATTCAAATTGGACACCGAGATTACTAGCGTTACTGTACAATGTATCTTAATCAGTTAAAGCAAACACCAAACATTAATTTCATATTATGTGATATATCTTTTTTTTCGTTCTGAAATAATGTGTACTATGAGCAACGCTCAAAGACCATTGTTTTAACCCGTCTGCCTTACACAGCACACCTAATTAGGTTATAATCACATAATATCGGTATCGGAATATCGGTAATATCGGCATTTTTGTAGTATCGGCGTATCGGTATCGGTATCGGCGTTTTTAGCTGGTATCGGATCGGTATCGGTATCGGCGACAAAAGTGGTATCGGTACATCTCTACTACTGGTAACGAAAATGAGTTGCCATGGATTGCGATATGATTAGACCACTTTGTTGTCTTTCGTCTTCTTCGCGATTGATTAAAGCAGAAATACCTAAATTTTTTTTGAGTAAAATAATCAATTGTTTCAAGGTATACTCAGTCAATGAATTGTGTCAGAAGGGATTGAATCCTTATATAAAAACAACAGCAGCTACACGTGGTTTACCGGTAGCCCCGAATAATGCAATCATCAATCAGAATGAAGACAACAGCTGTGAAATCACATGGAATTACGATGGAAGTATTGATGATATCGATAACTTTTTTGTAAGTAAAATGAGATACTGTATTAGTGACGCATTTTAGATTTCTGATGGTGGGAAGAAATTCACTGGAAAATAAAAAAAAATGGACATCATAATATCAAGACGATAAGAGATAAATAAAGGCAGTACAGCAGTGGCCCATGACACCATCGCAGAAATCTATTATCTAGCCATTCAAATACTTCAAATCTAAATTATGAATCGAGAACTACTGGTAATGCTTTCTCAGGGCACGGGGTTTGGAATATATTAAAAATATTCCCAAGCAGTGAAGCTGAATGCAAAAATAGCAACATTTGGGTTGAAATATCAAGCCCCAAAAGAGGAAAATTTAAAAAAGTACAAAAAAAGGTTCTAGCGATCTCTGCACTTATTGGGTACAGAAAATGGGAAATCGGTTGGTTCATTAGTTGTAGAGATTTTTCACAACATCATCAACCCCCAAAACGACAATCATACTCATACATAGGTACACCTCGTGTCCAAATATACTTTTCGATAGTTAGGAAATTATAACTTTTCAAGTTGCTTTCTATTTATTTATTTATTTTTATATATATTCGAATGCTTTTGTAAGGTCAAAGTGACGGAGACAGTCATTGTCGATCCAGACTCCTACTACAACGTCACAATTTCGGAATTCAACGTCACAAAAGACGTCCAAGAACAGAATATAAATACGCAAGCTAATACCAACTACGTTGCGGAGGTTTATGCCCAATCATGCGCAGGTGATGACATGAGTGTCACTCCCGTTGGAAAATGTGAAACTCCTATAGCTGGTGAGTTGCTCCAGTAAGTAAATATATGAGGAACAAACTTTCCATGCGTTGGAGTCAATTTTTTTCACCTCTCCAGTATTATATTGTTTATTTTTTTTGGTTGAATAAGAGTAGAAATTGTGGATTAAAACAAAACGCCTAATCTCGGAATCAAAAATCTTTCCAATTGATATTTTTAAAGAATGACGTAAAAGTCGAATTTCAGTTTAAGGACAGATGATGTCACTGCAAATATTCGATTCGATACTTCGTGCTGATCAAGTTATCATTCGTTAGAACATAAATCTTCTTGCCTGCACTGAATTGTCTTTCTAAATTGTTCTTGAATAAATTTTGCCCGCCGCCTTTGTTGATGTATTAAAATAGCGTTTTCCATGCATAAATATAAAGTAAGGACACAATTAACAATTCCAAATGTAAACTTGCTTGTAAATGTTGTCATAACTATAACACTGTTCTGTTATTTTGTATGAATGCGTCACCTACTGGTGTGGATGAACTACTAAAATAACGATATCTGGTGTCGAAAAGTTATATTTAAATTGATTTTATTATTTTTGCTCTATTTACAAGCATACCCATCACAGTGATTCTTTTTATATCTATACTATTTTGTCAATCAGCACCAAGTCACGTGACAGTACCACTGTGGTCGCCACACGAAGGAAATGAAATTTCAACAGCAATTCCACCTGCAGATAACAGAGCGGGACCTGTCAGGTTAGTGGAGCCTTCCATTCAAAAGAAATCGAAGTCTTTTATGGATGATATAAGAGGCATCGAAGTAGATATCGATCGGAGTCCGCCGACTCATCGATCTAGCGACGTGTATCCTTCGCTCTGACTCCATAGCGACACCGAGTGTCACATCACTAATTAATTAATAACTCGCTAACTATACGACATATTTCATCCAAGTCCGAGATATGATGAATGCACATGCAAAATTTGGAGCAGATTCAACCTCGCTTTCGTGATATATCGCGTAAAATACGAAAGTGTCAAACAGACAAATACCTATGAACATACTTACCGAGCGAGATCGATAAGTAATTAACAATTTTGAAAAGCTGTTATTTCCAAAACTATGAGAATGATGAAAATCAATCGATAAGTAATTAACAATTTTGAAAAGCTGTTATTTCCAAAACTATGAGAATGATGAAAATCAAAAAATATTGAAAAAAGGAATGAAATTGGCTATTTTGAGAATCGGTATTGGATAAAAGTACGAGGCTGGCTGTTTAGGCCATTCCTTTATTATCAAGCCAAACTAAACTTTATAAAAGATGAACAAATCAAATCGAAGGAAAGAAAGTCAAAATCAAAGGTATTCATGAATGACTTACCACAAAGCTGATTTTTTTAATCTATGAAATTCGAATGTATTTTCTTATTTTTATAGTTGCCAGTTTCTGGTTGTGCGATACATTGCAGAAGGTGATTCACCTCATGTGAATCAGTCAACTTTTCTGGAAATTAAAACAGCAGATGCTGAAAAGATTGAAGTCGGTGAAGAATACTTTGCTTATGCAACAGAAGCGTAAGATTACTTTATTGGAGACGCAGTGTTTTGCTTTGCTACATCGTTGTTGTTTAGGCAACTTTTTGGTGCGAAAAAAAATTGCCACAACTCCGTAACTCATGGCCCGATTGATTTCAATTTTTTAATACATATAGATGGTAGTAGTCTCCAGAACTTCATTATTTTTACCTGCCAAGAGACGAAAATGTATCAATGTTTAAAACCATGATTGAAAATACGAAAAGGTGTCTCATTTTCAAATTGCCTCTAATTTCAATGTTACGTTATTGGTCAGTTATTACTGATTAGTCACCGTTATAGGAATGAACAAGAAAATCGATGCTCGATGAAACATACCTTCGTTAAAGTAAGATTACATTTTTTTCGCCATCCTTACGCAGAATTTTTTTTCACAGATTGTCATCCACTCTCCAGATAGACATCGGTAACGACTCACAGAAGTCTTCGTGCATACCACTGCCAGCGGAAGGCTCGCGAAGGAAGAGGGATATTGGAAACGGCCAAGCTTTCAGGCAAAACAATAAAATGGAACAGTTATTTGACACAAAGTGTACATATGGATCGTTTTGTTAATATGTTGTTGATGATCGTCGTGGTAAAGTCGTGAAGACTGCAGTACCGGTAGCCTGTTGTGAAAGACTGCCTACCCGTGCTACTTCGTTTTGGCCTTTGTATCTATCTCTTGTTTATTTATCAAGCATCGATCTCTTGTTAATTTATCTGATTATTACTGATTTTGGTATTGACAGTATTGAAGAGCCTCGATTTATTGACTCGACTCGATTGGGTGTGAGTCATTATAATCCAAGGAAAAGGAGTTACTCGAGTTATTTATATACAATGACTCGGACTCGTCGTCAACTAACCACCAATGAGATTGAGCGATTGACCCATTTCGAGATCCGGATAACTCGTAACCCGACTCGAAATCTTCAACCCAACATTGGTTATTACTTGAACTCATAACCCTCCTCCGAAAAAATGTGTTCACTCGAGTTTGACGTGAGCAGTTGAACCTAGAATCTCTGCTAACCGGCAACGCTAACATTTTCATTATTTTTATTTTTAGCGCATGGAATAGAGCACTACCCTTTGGCATTAAAATAATATATTATCTAATAACAACAACGCCTGACAAAAACAAGATTTATTTTGCAAATAGTGAATTTTCGCAAGTATATCTCAAAGAAGAACGTAAGTATTTATTACTTTTATCATTATATTTCTTAACGTATCTCTCTATTTTGTATTCTGGTTCCATCTGTCAATATTGAGTGTTCCTGTTTTACTTTAAATTCAAATGGTGTCAATTCAAATACATAACCATTTTACATACGAAATACAGCGCTGCAGAAGTGTGTGTACCAATATGGAGGTAACTGATTTTGTTCGCCTACTTTACATGAAGTCGTGTAAAAGGACTGAAACCTATGGGCAGGGGGTATATTCACTTGACTAACACAGACAGTCACCGACCTCGTAATATACCTAAAATAAAGAAAATCGGAATAAAATTATGGCTCAATCCTAATCTGGTACATACACTACTGGAGTACCCAAAACCAGCGCTAAAAGAATGCGTATTTTATTAGCAGATTATTTGAAATTAGAACAACAGGACTTCCATTTTCTAACCATCATAAACTGGATTTGTATTTGAAGTTTTATAATGAAATTGCAGGCAAAACAATGTGATTTATTATTTGAAAAACACAAACTTGTCCACGGACACTTTTACTTCCTATCCATTCTAGCTAGTTTATTTCGAGATTAATATTCTATGGATTATATCCAAATATCTTGAAAACCAAGCATAATATCATTTTTCTTTGCATAGGACCTCCATCTGGAAATTCGTCCAATGCCACCGTTATTGTTTTGTCAGTTTTAGCTGCTGTTGTTGTTGTTGCTCTTGCTGTTATATTTTATCTTAGATGGTAAGTGCAATTTAATTTCTCAAATTCGATTTAACTTTAGAAATTTAGTGTTCATTTACAAAAGATGTACAATGATCAAAAAGATCAACAATGATATTTTGACTGATACATCACAATAAGTATAATCGACGAAAAAGATCTAAATTCTCCATTATCCAATATTGCATCCAAAATTCCGAAGACATCGTTTATTTACGGTATTTTCACTCATAAGTGCACACTCGGCTTGCGAGTAGATTTTTACTTTTATTGGACACAATGTATTTGCCAAATTCTTGTTGTTTTGATTGTTGCTCTTGTTAAATCCTTAGGTGTGTAAAACACTGTCCGTTCAAGGGTATTTAGGTGAATTTTCTGTTACAATGAGTAAATTACGGTCTATTTCTTACATATATTTTTGGATAAAAAATATCTAATATACATTCCATTTATTGGGGGTGATATTTAAAAATTAAATCCAAGCCCATAATTAATTTAATAACCGAAAAATTGACAAAACGCAGAAATATATGATATTGTGATTAATTTAACTCCTGGCAATTTTTGTCAGCTAAGATTCTGGTTTTTTCCCCTTAACTAAAACATTACTTGAATGTATTCTAGGAGGAAAGGAAAAAAATCAAGGACAGATCGAGGTTACAGATTTTCATATCGTAAAGGTAACTTTGCAGCATCTTTTTAAAATTATGCTCTTTCGTTTCAAACCCAATGCCTAGAACATTTTGTTGATCCCAAAAATAGTAAAAACATATCATTAGCTGCTTTTATGTAGTTTGTTCGGGAAAAATTTTTTATTTTGAAAATGGCCTTACCTAGGGTAAGTAAGTAAGTTTTAGTAATTTGTTATTAATTGTTGACAAGTTCCTACAACTTGACCCGGGATATAATAAATTGGTCAGGCAATACCGGACTGGGAAGATTCTCGTCATTTCAAAAATATGTCTATACCAAGTATGACCATTAGTTCAGTACCAAAAACCAAAATCCTGGTAATTTGCTCTTAATTTTGACAAGTTAATATTTTATATTTAGATACATCCTATGACGCACTGTGAGGTGGCGATTACGTAAAGTCAACTGGAAGAAACGTTGAAACACCATCGTTCATTCTTCAGTTTTTAAGCAAAATAGCTTTCTCTCCTGTGTTTGTTTTTTTAATATCAAATCCTGCCACTGTTTTTGACAGTCTGTATTCTGCTGCTTACAAATTATAATGTTGTATGTGTAATTATTATTAATTAGAACCTAACAGTAGTTCAAAAAATAGTTGAATTTATATGAATATATTCTTGAATGTTCTGTAATAATTGGTAGATTTTAATTAGGTGTTGTTTTATGCAGTTTAATACAAGGTTACCATCATATATTCCAAAATCTTTTTCTAATCCCAACGTCGTAACACTTTTTGCACAATTTTAAATGTAGCTCAAAACGTAGCTTATTGTACTTCTTTTTTTTAATTAAACACAATGTTCAAGTTCATTCCTGCCTTGTAATTTTTTTTCTTTATATTTTCTACATTTTATGAAGCCATTGTAATTATGTTGGTTGCAGGAAGGAACCTTAAATTTGTATTCAGCCAAACCTGATCGTAGATTATTATTTGAAAATTTGTAACAAATATCGCTAGAGTACTTTTGACGCAATATGTAACCATTTGTTCAAGAAAGTTGAAATCTTGAAATGATTTTCACATGCTTAGTTTAACCGCTAACGACAAACAATTTTTTGACAACCAGACAAGGAGTTGGAGTCGGAATTTCATACTTCAAATGGTGATAATAGAAGGCAAAATCTCGCTTCAGGAACTCTTAAAAGTTCACTGATTTTTTTAACAGTCTATAGTAGCCTATAGCCCTATATGACCATGTTTTTGTTACCAAAATTTGATTGGTCTTGACCCTCGCAAATCCTTGTTATTTTGGGTATTTTCTGTAAGTAGGAGATGAAAAATACTTGAAAATAATTATGCTTTTATACACTTTGCACTACTGTTTTAAAAATCATACGTTTTGTTGTGAGTTTAATTCTTGGGTACTTTTTTTTAAATATATGGCTGAAACGAATATATATCTATGTATGTATAATGCCATATTTGAAATAGATGATGAGTTGTAAGAAGATGATTCTCACAGAAGTATTATACGGAATGTCGATTGAAACATTAAATCAACATATATTTTCTTGTTTTCAAATGTCCAACATTGAAATCTCCGCTTCCCCGAACTCACCCCATCATTCTACGTTTGATTTTTAATATTATTTATCGGACATGAAGTGTCCTTTTCTCCGCAACGAAATGATACCTGATTTTGAATTACCAGTACTATACACTACTCAGTATACTATCACCTTTTTTTAATCTAGATTCTGTGGCACCTGATATTTCGCTTCAGATTGGCAGGGCCAAATCATTCAAGATCGGAAAAATGTCATTCGATTTATAAAATCGATGATCGCCAAATACGTAATGTTCATTTATACCAATTCAGTATAACTCGCAAGATTGACATCCCTGATACATAAAAGGCTTCCAACAATCGTCGGGAAGTGTTTACCGGTCATGCAATAAAATGAACGGGATTCCCTCACATTCTCTTTCCATTAAATTTATTGTTCTCTTTTTTTTTTTGCTGAATCGAAAATAGTGTTTTTCAGAAAAACGTTCATTCGAAATAAAACTGTTCAATAATAGAGCTTATTTTTAAACAAAAAACTAAACCATTCAACAACGACATTTACGTCTATAACTATGAATATAAATCACATAGGTTACAAAAACTGAAAATAAAATGAATTATCAATTCTACCAGAATCTGTACAAAAGACCAACCGTTTCAATGGCGTTCCCCGTGATCTGAATGGACAGGATTAACCAATACTGTCGTTTTGTTTATTGTGCTCTATGAGACAGAAACACATTTTAAATCGCATCTGCCGAATTGAATGAAACAAGAAAACTGTACAAAAATAGCAAATTGTATTCAAATAAATCGGCGGATAAAATTGCACAGTACATTAAACTGTGTTAAAAACTGTTTAGTTCAGCAATTATTTGTCTCATAAATGAAGGGAATATCCGTTACTTCATTGAGTCATGCATTCATTTATTGTATCCAAGCTTGGGAAAACCCGTTTTCCACAAATGGTTGTTAGATTGAAAATCAGACAATTCTTTCAACGGAGTATGTGTATTACAATTTTATTTATAACTTGTTTTACATCCGATAATTCAGCATTATGAATAGGAAATAGCAAAATGCTTATTTGTATTCTCTACATAATATTAACTTAATTCAAAATGCCCACTAAGCAACTCGAATGGAAAACTTATATAAATCGACATCCAATGAAAACTGTTACCATATCTGGACAATCTTCTCGAGGTATGTTGGGCAATTCTAACTTCGCGCAACAAATTATTTTAGGACTTTATTAGGCTTCGATTTTTAACGGCCTCGATCACAATTTGTATTTTGTACTGTAAACTGATAACAAATTCCAACATTACTTAATTGTATCTTCAAGAAGAATAACAATCAATATAAACAACAAAATTTTGAATATGATATTTTGGTTCATGGTTTCGACGTGGTAAACTTTATATCAACTTGAATCGTATGCCTGGTATTCAATTATACTATAAGAGTTTAAGTAGTAAAATCACATATTGCTATTTTTCCAGTATTTCGATGCCAGGCTATATCTCGGTGAAATCATAATCATGAGTTTCAAAATCATTCTCGCGCTTGCCCTAATCTCAACCATGGGCTGCAAAAGATCCGACGCGTGGGTGTCAAGTCTAGCCCGACTCTCAGGTAATGTAATGAAACAAGTACCAAAAGCGATGCGTTACGTGGAGCCAGTTGTTAATGCTGTAAGTACAACACAGGAGCATCAGCATAGTGGGGAGCATCACGTTGCCGAGCCTCAGCATGATGGGGAGCATCACGTTGTCGAGCCTCAGCATGGTGGGGAGCAACAACATCATCATAACCTCCATATCCCGTATCCCAGGTACAAATTAACAAAAGAAAACCAGCGTAACATATTTTATTTCTCAGTTCTTGATTTATGTGGTGGTTCCCATCGTATTTTGTTAAATTCCTCCCTTTGACTATTCAGAACTTTTTATTCCTCACTCACTCTGCATAAAAATACTTTATTAATTCAAATATTTAATAGATTGGTAATGTTATGCGCAAGTAGCGCTGCCGCGTTTATACAGCATATCATGTGTGCATAAAAATGACGGCAATAATAAAGAACTAAAGAATATTGGTAATACTCCAGCAATAACAAACAAAAAAATATAGTTTTATAGTGAGATGTCGTTCAAACACGGCACCACATAGTAATTTTTACTAATAATTGCATTTTTTTCAGCAGTGGAAGACGAAGCAATTCGTACTCTACCAGTAGAAGACGGAGCAGTTCGTACTCTACCAGTAGAAGACGGAGAAGTTCGTACTCTACCAGTAGAAGACGACGCATTTACTCTAGCTCAAGTCGCCGAAGGCGCAGAAGCGGAGACAACACAGTTAATGAGCAGGTAAAGTAAACATGACTATATCCAATAGGCTCCGGATTTGGAGGAAACTCACATAATCCAGACTATTTCTCAAAACTAGTTAAATTTCAATACGCAGTTGAAACATTTGGTGCATAGCGGTAAAAACACGTTGACCATATTACACTCGCCGTCGTAGGATGGTTTGTGCAACCAATATTGGGTTACGTCTTCTTCCACCAACAAGTTCACACATCTGAAACAAATAACTAACTGTTTAAACCAGTGGTTCTCAAACTTTTTAGGCCGCGCCCCCTTTTTAGAATTAGAATAAATAATGACTAGCTAGCAATAAGCTACAAATAACAGGTAGTAAGTATGTTTTATTCATAAACACGTTGAATATACATGGATGGAATGTAAATAATAAGATAAATGAAAAGTTTTGAGAACAAATAAGGCGGACAAGATCAAATCTAACAAATATTTTTGTTTTTTATTAGCTTCACGCCCCTCTAAAGTATGTCTACGCCCCCATTGTGGGACGCGCCCCACCGCTTGATAATCACTGATCTAAACAGTAACGGCTCACCATATGATTAAGCCGTCTTATCGGTTCCGTTCACATGAAAAGCAAATCTTATACAATTTTATTCACTCCAGGAACTAGAAGATATCAATGAGCTCATGAATGATATTGTCGAAGGGTATGATGATGAAATCGCTCAACAAGTCATTGCCGAAGATATGAAGAAAGGTAATATCATGAAAATTTCTAGGATAAATTATGTACAGACAACAGCCGAGAAAGGGTGAAAGAATAATTTATTTTTTTTAGAGATCGTAGATGACAATAAAACGCCTGGTTGAACAAATAAAATTAAAGTTTCAAAAATATTCCAGTGAATACCAAATTATAAAACTCGATAAATCAATGTCACAATTTGTAACTGAGCTTCACCATAAATTCTATATTTTTGAGTCTCCTGTATAATTCTAAAACGCTGTTTTAAAACATGAAGTAAAAAGAAAAAGTTTTAACACAGGTTTCTTTCGTTTTTGGCGCGGTGAATATGCGGATACATTTATCTGTAATATACTTTGGAAAGCTTTCCATTGTTAAAATTAACACTAGGGGCGCTATTTAGCTATATATATATATATATTTGGTCATGACTCAGTTTGGATATTCCTTCAACAGTATCCTTGCTTGTTAAAAAGGGTATATGGTCATTTTAACTATCAGCAAGAAATGATATTTTACTATTTCTAGCCTAGTCTTTGATATTGTGTCTTTTATATAAAATAAAAAGCAATTTTATATTTGTTACTATAGAAGACTACGGTGACGTGGACGACGATGACGCACATGACGTTGACTTACTTGATAAGGAAGAAGACGAATCTGCTAATTTTGATTAAACAAGAAAAGAATTCAAAAAGGACCGGACTCAGGAGCATTTAGTTAAAGATTCATTTTACAATTTTTTAATATTTTTTTGAAAGCATTGAATAAAAGACGTTTCCAACGAAAAAAACACAAAACATATCATACGCGATCACCAATGCGACTAATATAAAATGCAAACTTGTTGTTTCACAGGTGCATAATGTGTGTAATGCATTTGCCTGTATTAGTTAGGAGGGAATGAAGGTAGTTGGAGTCAAGAGCACGCTTCCACATTTTTTATGTTTTCTCCAAGTTTTAGGGGACACGTTACCGTTTTAATTTATTTCATGGGAACACAATTTATGAAATATGGGAACACTTCATTCCGTCACGCTCGACCGCGAAATGTTCCATCAAATAGACATAGTGGAGCGTGGATTAATCAAAGATAAATATCGTCACGCTAATAACCGAATTGCGTAAGTCATTTTTGGCGATTTTGAGTTTTTTATAAAATAGGTATTTATGTAATGCTGCGCACCTGTCTGTTAACTCAGATTTTATTTTAGGAATTCCGAAACCCATAAAAATGGAGATTTAGTATGACATGCACATTTGTGAAATTGTTTCGTCATTATGAATTATCCTTGTTACCGCAGTACTATTGTGACGTCACAAAGGCAAAATAACCTCGGTGAAGTATTTTCGAGTTTTTGCATCTCGGATTCTAGCTTAGCGCGTATTAATTTGAATTTTTACTACAGTATAGGAAGACGTGCACTTGTGATATTCACTGTCCGAGTCAAATTTACATTGGTTGGCTTTTATATTGGGTGCATTGTTGTTTTATTCTTTATATTTAATCTTGGTCCTATTTCGGTGGGTGTGCAGAACGTGTTATATTGAGAAAATATATATTTTTTATTAAACATAAAAAATGATGTAATTGAAACTGATTAGCTATTTTGGGGATTAGACATTGTAGATACTGAGAATTACATTCGTTTTTGGAATGTTTAGTTTTCAGGACTGGTACATATAGTGAAGTTGCAAAATTGCGTATGTCACCAAGTCATAGACACATTTCTGCCTAAGTCACAGTGCGCCATTATGACGTCACTTAACTGCGTCATACAAATTAACTTAAATCCGGCTAGGATCAAAAAATTGAACCATGGCAAATTATTGACTCTCAATTGCAACACAAAATCATTAGGAAGTTTTTTACGTTTTTCTCAAAACTGCTAAAAATAACTTACGCAATTCGGTTATTAGCGTGACGATATGCTTTGCAATTGACGGCTCCTGCCACGAACGAACCGCGGCCTCTCTTGTCATGGTTTTATGGCGCTATTACCGGTATATTCACAAAGTCATGTACCAGATTTTAGTTTATCATGCCAAATGATATCTACTTAAACCTGAAACCTAACCCCAAATTAATCAAGACTGTATCCATAAAGAAAATGTTCTAACTTACCCTAACTTACCCAAAATGTGTCACCCCAGGGGCTGTCCTGCCATTACAGCCTACGCGCCTTGGTTTGTGGCAGCACAATTTTACCCGCCATGGTTTTCTATTTGCTGTCGTGGTGCCCCGTCTCACGCCATTTGTTTGTGGCAGCCGCCATGGTTCGACAATTGCGGCTATGGTTTGGAAATTCCGCCATAGTTTTCCGCCAGCTTCAGGCGCCACAAATTACTTTCAAATATACTTGCGCCAAAGATGCATTGGTGATAGCTCGCGCCTAGAGATCAATCTGTCTTTAACGTAGTCCAACTCAATATCGTTTATATTATCGTGTTCTACCTCTATTCTGACATGGGTTTGCCCTTTCAAATAGGTAGCACGATAAAGTGTGCCACATAGTACATGCCAGTTCACATGGTTTAATGAGGATGTGTTCTAAAGTTGTCAAAATAATCTTGTCGTGTGCTACGCCACGTTCGAATAATAACATAACTAGATAACGATCGGAGACCGCCGACATATCGATTTCCCGCATGTTCAATCGCTCTGACTCAATTGCGACACCGCGTGTTCCAACACTGATTAAATAATAACTCGCTAACTATACGAAATAATCCACATAATCCACAATAAAAAGGCTACTGGTCCGAGATATGATGAATGCACCTGCAAAATGCAGACAGACAAATACCTATCAACATACTTACCGATCGAGATCGATAAGTAACAACAAACTTAAATAAAACACATGACGAATAACCAATGATAATGTTCAGTAAAACTATACTGCTTCGAACACAAATTTGAAATGTTGGACTCCAAACAAGAAATAGCGACGTCGATCATTAAATCTAAACGTCCATCTCTTAACCAAGAACGTAGATGAGATGTGTTTACTTTCATGATTGTGAATGCTTGTTCGTGCTTGCAAATCGACAAATCCAGTGCGAATATATGTGGACTCTTCGTTGTTAAGGTTGCCTACTAACCTTCCTGGCAACAGAACAATGCAAAGGGGTCAACAAAATGTGCCAAATCAGACAGTATTGAGTCATGCATTCATTTATTGTATCCAAGCTTGGGAAAACCCGTTTTCCACAAATGGTTGTTAGATTGAAAATCAGACAATTCTTTCAACGGAGTATGTGTATTACAATTTTATTTATAACTTGTTTTACATCCGATAATTCAGCATTATGAATAGGAAATAGCAAAATGCTTATTTGTATTCTCTACATAATATTAACTTAATTCAAAATGCCCACTAAGCAACTCGAATGGAAAACTTATATAAATCGACATCCAATGAAAACTGTTACCATATCTGGACAATCTTCTCGAGGTATGTTGGGCAATTCTAACTTCGCGCAACAAATTATTTTAGGACTTTATTAGGCTTCGATTTTTAACGGCCTCGATCACAATTTGTATTTTGTACTGTAAACTGATAACAAATTCCAACATTACTTAATTGTATCTTCAAGAAGAATAACAATCAATATAAACAACAAAATTTTGAATATGATATTTTGGTTCATGGTTTCGACGTGGTAAACTTTATATCAACTTGAATCGTATGCCTGGTATTCAATTATACTATAAGAGTTTAAGTAGTAAAATCACATATTGCTATTTTTCCAGTATTTCGATGCCAGGCTATATCTCGGTGAAATCATAATCATGAGTTTCAAAATCATTCTCGCGCTTGCCCTAATCTCAACCATGGGCTGCAAAAGATCCGACGCGTGGGTGTCAAGTCTAGCCCGACTCTCAGGTAATGTAATGAAACAAGTACCAAAAGCGATGCGTTACGTGGAGCCAGTTGTTAATGCTGTAAGTACAACACAGGAGCATCAGCATAGTGGGGAGCATCACGTTGCCGAGCCTCAGCATGATGGGGAGCATCACGTTGTCGAGCCTCAGCATGGTGGGGAGCAACAACATCATCATAACCTCCATATCCCGTATCCCAGGTACAAATTAACAAAAGAAAACCAGCGTAACATATTTTATTTCTCAGTTCTTGATTTATGTGGTGGTTCCCATCGTATTTTGTTAAATTCCTCCCTTTGACTATTCAGAACTTTTTATTCCTCACTCACTCTGCATAAAAATACTTTATTAATTCAAATATTTAATAGATTGGTAATGTTATGCGCAAGTAGCGCTGCCGCGTTTATACAGCATATCATGTGTGCATAAAAATGACGGCAATAATAAAGAACTAAAGAATATTGGTAATACTCCAGCAATAACAAACAAAAAAATATAGTTTTATAGTGAGATGTCGTTCAAACACGGCACCACATAGTAATTTTTACTAATAATTGCATTTTTTTCAGCAGTGGAAGACGAAGCAATTCGTACTCTACCAGTAGAAGACGGAGCAGTTCGTACTCTACCAGTAGAAGACGGAGAAGTTCGTACTCTACCAGTAGAAGACGACGCATTTACTCTAGCTCAAGTCGCCGAAGGCGCAGAAGCGGAGACAACACAGTTAATGAGCAGGTAAAGTAAACATGACTATATCCAATAGGCTCCGGATTTGGAGGAAACTCACATAATCCAGACTATTTCTCAAAACTAGTTAAATTTCAATACGCAGTTGAAACATTTGGTGCATAGCGGTAAAAACACGTTGACCATATTACACTCGCCGTCGTAGGATGGTTTGTGCAACCAATATTGGGTTACGTCTTCTTCCACCAACAAGTTCACACATCTGAAACAAATAACTAACTGTTTAAACCAGTGGTTCTCAAACTTTTTAGGCCGCGCCCCCTTTTTAGAATTAGAATAAATAATGACTAGCTAGCAATAAGCTACAAATAACAGGTAGTAAGTATGTTTTATTCATAAACACGTTGAATATACATGGATGGAATGTAAATAATAAGATAAATGAAAAGTTTTGAGAACAAATAAGGCGGACAAGATCAAATCTAACAAATATTTTTGTTTTTTATTAGCTTCACGCCCCTCTAAAGTATGTCTACGCCCCCATTGTGGGACGCGCCCCACCGCTTGATAATCACTGATCTAAACAGTAACGGCTCACCATATGATTAAGCCGTCTTATCGGTTCCGTTCACATGAAAAGCAAATCTTATACAATTTTATTCACTCCAGGAACTAGAAGATATCAATGAGCTCATGAATGATATTGTCGAAGGGTATGATGATGAAATCGCTCAACAAGTCATTGCCGAAGATATGAAGAAAGGTAATATCATGAAAATTTCTAGGATAAATTATGTACAGACAACAGCCGAGAAAGGGTGAAAGAATAATTTATTTTTTTTAGAGATCGTAGATGACAATAAAACGCCTGGTTGAACAAATAAAATTAAAGTTTCAAAAATATTCCAGTGAATACCAAATTATAAAACTCGATAAATCAATGTCACAATTTGTAACTGAGCTTCACCATAAATTCTATATTTTTGAGTCTCCTGTATAATTCTAAAACGCTGTTTTAAAACATGAAGTAAAAAGAAAAAGTTTTAACACAGGTTTCTTTCGTTTTTGGCGCGGTGAATATGCGGATACATTTATCTGTAATATACTTTGGAAAGCTTTCCATTGTTAAAATTAACACTAGGGGCGCTATTTAGCTATATATATATATATTTGGTCATGACTCAGTTTGGATATTCCTTCAACAGTATCCTT